AGTATAGAAGGAAAAACCACACCTGCACACATGAGCAGTGTTTGAATAATGTTGTACAGTTGGAAGCCTGAATTGTCTGATCAAATACTTCAGTGTATTTCTTTGATTGTAGGAAAGTAATTGTATTCTGAATACCACCAAATCAAAGAGTAATTGTACCTGACTACAGTAACTCAAAATGAGTATTCTGAATATGTATTTAGTTATTTCCCAATACTGTGTGTAATGGGAAAGAGCAGAAATCCAGTTTCGCCCATTCTCTCAGATAATGTATGTTTCATTTAGATGATGTTTGAAATCTTTATCCTTCTCATCTGCAAACTGTTTTGGGTTCAATCATTCCAGGAAAGTATTTCATTTTTTTCTTGTTAATGGCAGCATTTAGACCTGCCTTTTGTGTTTATGTATGTTACAGATTAAAGCCAGGAGTGGGATTCATGTACTTTGAAAATATTGGTACAGAATTGAAAATACACACTATACCAAATATCCGAATATGTCATGAAGGCAGATGTTTAATAATGCAGTCCAAGTCTTTAGAACCTGCGTGTTTAGTCTTCTCCAGAACAGTGTCCACGTCAGATGCGAGTAAACCTGGTCAACAAAACGACTTTGTGTTGGAGTCGGATTTTATTGAAGCAAATATGAGCCAAATGCAAGTCCCAGTCACACAGTTTGCTGCACCATGTCATTTGTAAACCGCAATCGATTGGTGATGGTTGTACGAAGGAAACTACCATTTAAAAGTCCTAATGTTACGCAAAATGGACTCTTGTGAGCTTTAAACCATGTGAGAATGTTGTTACTGTACCTCCTCAAAAACAGACCTGGAGTTGTTTTGTTTCATTCACACATGTTTGAGTAGTCTGTGTGACTATATCTCTAGAATTCAGAATGCTCTGTTCCACCTTATGATGTCATGACACAGTAGTTTTCAAGTTAAGTGCTCCCTCTTAACTTTTTGTTTGGTCGAGATTGGAAATTCCATGGCTGAAATGATCCAAATCTGAGAATACTAATGAACTGAAGCCAGAGTCAGTGAAGCTGAAAGCATGCTCGTGCTCACTTCCTATGAGGAACATGTCGACTAGCAGGTTAACTATGTCCCTTTATATATACAGTCTTTAAATATACTGGTTTAGATTGTGTATAGTCCAGGTAATAATTACGATCATCAATATATGACACTAACTAATAGACTACTCACGATTTGTCAATAAATCGTTGCAGCCCTGACTGAAAAGTGTCTTTGGTGCTCACTGACCGCAGCTCAGTTGGTCAGTTGAGTGTTTCTTCACTGATCCGAAGGTTGGCCATTCAGATCCCGCTCTTGACGTAAAAACATAATTGTCTGGGTACTCACGCAGGTTGACGCTGCGATGATTAGATGAATTGGATGAATTAGAGATGGTCCGATATGATTTTTTTCATGCCTGATACTGACTGTTTAGAATCCAGAGAAAACAATCAGCTCTGTCAGTATTTTCGTTGTTGATACGTAGGGCCAATTTGTTTAAATTTACAACAATTTATGTTTCACAGCCATTTTAAAAATCATAAATCTTTAGAGAGCAGTTTAGTCATGTTTTGTGCACTAAACCGGTGTTTCCCAAACTTTTTTTCTGGGGACCCATATTTTAAAAGTCACAAACCTTCATGACCCAAGTCAACAGACATTATTCGTAATTCACAAAATAAAGGTGGATTTGAACATTATTGAACATTAATGAGGATATTTTATTGTTGACTGAGTGATCATGTCTCTGAACAATTAGTATAGTCACTGAAGCAGCACTAAAAGGATCCACAAGTCGCCTATTTGGACATTAAATGTAGTCTGTTTCTTATTCTTTTCAACATTCAATTGAACCTGCAATACTGGAATAAAATAGTCAATAAAATTATTCTTAAATGATTAGAAATTATACAAAACATGTCTTAACATTTCAAAATGCATGCAGATTGTGACTAACCAGGCTGGCACCACCTAGTGCCTCTGCTCAATTTCATTTCTCTCCTGCAACTAGGTCAGGAATCGAAATAAGCTTGACGGTTTGCAAGAATCCTGGAAGTGCAAGTACGAGTACCAGCTAATCAGTAAAGAGTCATATATTCAGTGTTGGCAACGATTCCCGAGATCGAGGATTTAAAGCCGGAACAAAGAGAATGTTTGGTGAATTTTATCAAGGGGAAAGACGTTATTGTCCTTCTTTCTACAGGATTTGGGAAAAGCTTAATGTAACAGTTAGCTCCGTTAGCGGCGCATTACATACGTCATGACCAAATAGCAGAAATTGGTTAAATAAAAAAGTACCCTCCTACCGTTGGCAAATGAATTCTAACACTGCACGGTCAGTCGGTTTCTACAAAGTGAAACCAACTGATGAATCAGACTAGATCATGACAAGGCGACCCGCAAAAAATCTCTTGCGATCGTGATCCAGTCTTTGGGAAACAACGCACTAAAGTGTTCAGATGAAGCATTATGCATTATTAGATTCTTTGAGCAGCAGGTCGGCCAAAACTAAATATGGGTCTGTGGTGGAGATGTAAGGCTGATAGACGATTCATTCAAAAGTGCAAATATCATTCCTATAGATCTCTTAAGATGAATGGTGTGGGCATTTATTGGGCAAGAGGCTTAACTCCCCTCACCCCTAGTGTCTGTGTACTCTGGTGTATCAATGTGTGAGTGATTGGGTGAGCGGTTCTTTGATGTAAAGAGGTTTGAGTGCCTTTAAGATGGAAAAGCACTGTATAAAAATGTGACCACTAACCATTGTATTGTATTGAGCAAGAGCACATGAGGACTTTTACCGACATGACATGAATCTTGGTCAGGAGTATCAAGCCAGACGATCGCCCTACATGTTTTTGGTTTGATTTGGAAACTGGATCACCTCTTAACCCTCCCAGACACAGGGAGAACATGCAAACTCCACACAGACTTTACAGCTTGACTCTTTTACAGCTCGGCGAAAACACCGCTTTCGACAATCATCACACTTGGCCCGGTCCCCCCTCGCCGTACGCTATCGGCCCGTCTCCTCCTCTCATCTGCTCCCAGTTAGACACATCTTGAACGCCGTCATAAAGCACCAAACTCCTCATACGTCCTCCTCTCTCTCTCCCCTCCGCTCTCCGCTCGTCTGGATCTCCGGGCACAGGGAGTTTTTCTCACTTGACGCTCGGAAAACCACGGAAAAAGCAGCACGCGTCCAGCTGCACCTCTGGCCGCGCACACAGTCGACAAATAGTTCAGAAATGTGATGGCTTCTATGGCATCATTCTCGTCCGTTTCTCATGTCTGGCCGAGAACTTGCGAAATATCGGAGGAGGATGACAACTCCACTTTTTTATGCCCTTGTTGCATCCTGAAAAGCGCTTGGAACAGTAGCCAACTTTGACCCTTGCGTTAGAAAAGTTGTGGTGAGCGAAGAGGTGTATAGGTCTGTGGGGTCTGGTTTTAATCAGAGAGATGTATGGGCTGAGAATAGACGTTTAATGACAATGAATGCTTGTAGCTGCAAATACCGGCCCCGCTTTTGGTCAAACCGCTAGCCAGGGCCAAGACAACAATACATCATTATCCTCCCTGCTGAAGTTATTATTTCTACTCTATATGAATGTATTAAAATATCTTCGTAAAGGAGCATTGTGCAACTTCTGGTGGAAGGTCTGTCAAAATGTCTGTCAAACACATTTCTCCATGGAGCTTGTCTGGAATGTTTCACAGTATGGTATTAAACCTTTTTATCTTGATGGAGACCAAACCAGACCAAGTTAGAGGTCAGATCTGTGGAGAGGAAACACCACACACAGTCAGAATGCCTGTTTTTTTCAAGTTATTTGAGCTATAAAACCACCTGTAACTGAATAAACAGAAGGCAGAGCAATGACATATCCATAGAAACAAGCAGGAAAACAGAACGAGCCCAATTTAAAGGACACACATTATGCAAAATATATCTTTTGGCCATGTTCTAACCATGTTATAGCAGTGTTCCCTCATCAATGACATAAATGGAGTTGTATTTTTTGAGTCATGCTTGTTTGATGAATTCTGTTTCGTAAGTCACAGGTAAAAATCTTCTGCGCTGTTTTAAGTCCATAAAGTTAGTAAAGTTCTAAAACATGATGCAGAGGTATTAAAGAGCATGTCTAAATGGTAATAATGCATGATATTTGTCCTTTAAACAGTTTGCAGTGGTCCAAAGGTTCCTCACTTTACTGACTGATTCCTAGCATCTTGATTTTTGATGTTGAAACTGCATAACGCACGACTCCAAGGTGTTTAAGTTGCACTTATACCATGGCTACAAATTGAAATGTCTGAAATGTCTCACCTACGAATCTGAAAAGCCTGTTCACTGTCTGTAAAAATCTCAAATATTAGTTATTTCAGTGTTTTTAATGAAACTAGTTCCTACATTCAACTCATAGCAGTTAAGCAATTGTTTTTCCTTATACATTAGGCCTTATTAACGTTATTAAAATTCTCACTAACCGTGGTATAGTAATTTATGTTGTAACTATGGGTGGGACATTAATGTGTTAATTACGATTGATTAATTAATTACAAAGAAAATAATAATAATATAGCAGTTCTGATCTGAGTACAAACAAGAGGTGTCAGCAGCCCAAACTCCAACAAATAATGGGCTTCAGGGAGTAAACGAGTAAGATTAATTGAGATGAATTAATTGCAAAGCCTGTAATTAATTCGATTTTTTTCCCCCCCAGTTGTAACTTTGAGCTATGTTGGCCCAAGTTGTCTGTTGATATGGATGATATTCTACATGATTTTAGAGGTTGAACTTTCAGGAATGTTTATTCCCATTTACAAACCGATAAATGTGCAGCGCTGATATTTTGCTTGTGACCCTGTTGCCCTGCGTTTTCATCCGTCTGTATCTGTCCACACAAATCCGTAGATAAGTAGATAAGTTAAAGCATTGGTCTTCTGGTAAGCTAAATCTAAATTTTGTCTTCCTCTCCAGAGCCTCCTCTCAGTCCACGACACTGTGGCCCAGAAGAATTACGACCCCGAACTACCTCCACTGCCCGACGACCTGGACGACGACGAGGATTCGGTCAAGATCATCCGCCTGGTCAAGAACAAGGAGCCTCTGGTAAGTTCTGCTCAGCTTTATGAAGGCATCTCCACACACCACCTCTGCACAGTCATCAGCACACATGCAAGAATGTATGCAAGTGAAGATATTGGACCATCTTCAGGCAAAAGTCATATATTTTACACCGTGTATGAAAGCATGTACATTTTATCTGACACAAGGGTTTAGCTCTATGGCTGTGGATATGTCGAGCCGCCCTTACGCTGCTCTGATACTGAACAGATGTGAAAACCTAAAAGATGTTTGTGCACGTATCAGTCAGGTCTTTGGACTTTTTCGCCAATTCAGAATAGGAAAGTGGTAGCAATCTGACCTAGATTGTGATGAACTTTCTCATTTGTCTCTTTCAAAGTGCTGTTCAGTCTTATAAAACAGAATCAGTTCATTTTAAACAGATTGTAGCGGTTAAAAGTATTTCGTCACTAACTCCTTACGCATTCCAAGTATCCTGATTATTCATCGCACTGAGTTTTTGGGATGACAGTAGTGGCAGTACCTCTGTTGGTTCAGCGTTTGTCCACTGATCTGAAGGTTGGTGGTTTGAATCTTGCTATTGACATCATTGGTTGAGCGGTCAGTTCCACAGATCCAGATCCAAGGGGCGGCGATGCAATTCTAGCTTCCACAGATGACGTCGTCGATGTCGTTGTTAGGGATATCCAAATCTCTCTGTACGATATTATTGATTGATTGATTCGTTTTTATTTCGAGTTTGTGCCAAGAGAGAAACAATGATCATATATACTACATATGCATTGTAAACAACAGAAAAGCACATTATACATTATCACGATATGCATCTTCAAGTCAAAAACATATTTCTTCATGTTGTCTGCACTGAAATGAATCATGGGATATGTAGTTTCCAATGTTCATCAGCTGTTGCTACTGTAAAGCTGTGCATTTATACAAAGTAATTTGATATATTGTGACAGCCCACGATATTATTATGAGACTTTTGACGATACTGTATCACAATATTTCAGTTATTGTTACATCCCTAATGTACATGTGTCATTTTAACTTTGTGTTGTTTGTTTTAATGTAATAGAATATAATGTTTTATAGGCATCTAACTGTACCCATCTAAAAACATGGCTCTTTTATTTACTCAATTTATTGTGACCGCTAAAATGAGTAGCTCTCTGTTATTTTCTTTTTGTTATGGTAGCTCAATGGAGGAAAAAGGTTGGAGATCCCAGTTTTAAACAGGTTGTAGCAGTTATAAGTATTTTGTCTCTAACTCCTAACGCATTCTAAGTATCTTGATTATTCACCGCAATGAGTTTTTGAGGTGACAGTAGCAGCAGTCTGATTCACTGACCCAAGGGTTGGCGGTGTGATTCTAGCTCCCACAGATGAATGCTCTTGTTGTTAGGGATGTAACGATATCCAAATCTCACGGTACAATATTTATTGCGATATTTTAAAGAAGCTGATATAATTGTAGAAGGAACACTTTTTTGCTTTTATAATACCTTGACAAGATTTTGGTGTGAGTTATTTCTGTCATAATCCCAAGAATTCAAGTCAAAAACATATTTCTTCATGTTGTCTGTGCTGAAATGAATCATGGGAGATGTAGTTTCCAGTGTTCATCAGCTGTTACTACTGTAAAGCCATGCATTTAAGCAAAGCAGTCTGAAGCAGTAGTCTGATTCACTCACCCAAGGGTTGGCGGTGTGATTCTAGATTCGAGTGCTGTCGTCAGGGTTGTAATGATATCCAAATCTCATGGTGCGATATGATCACGATATGCATCTCACGGTACGATTTTTTGGAGAGGCAGGAAGCTTTTTTGCTTTTAAAATACCGTGACAAGATTTTGGTGTGAATTATTTCTGTCATAAAGTCAAAAACATATTTCTTCATGTTGTCTGCACTGAACTGAATCATGGGAGATGTAGTTCCCGATGTTTATAAGATGTTGCTTCAATAAAACCATGTATTTAAGCAAAGGAACTTATAATTCGATGTATTGTGACAGCCCACGATATTATTGTGAAACTTTTTGTATTTGAATATTTTTAGAATTTTTTTTTCCTATCTGTGTTTAAAGTTTATTATCAGGATATTTTTGTTTCTGGTAATGTTTACAATTTTTTTGTATTAAAAGGGGAATTTATGTATTTCTATTTGTAGAGAGAGAAAAAAAAAAGTTTATTAACCGATTGGGGGGAGGAGCCTCGTACTTTAAAAGAGAACTACCATCTGCACAGAGGCAATGTGTTTTGAGGCGGAGAGCTGTGTGCAGCACAGGCACCAGCTCAGGACCTATTTAAAGACTCCCACAACCTTTAAATATATCTTTTATTTTTTTCATTTTTCACTGTTTTTGCAAGCTTCTGTTAATAAAATCACAACCATTAATTTGACCACCCCATATTATTTCTTTTCTGTTAAAAAGAACCTACGACATCCAACAACAACAACCAGCTTTTTAATAGATGCTGATAGAACACCCATTTTGGTCCCATTTTGACCCAAACCCCTGCAATTCCTGTCATCTCTACCGGGCAAATCAAATTCTAATATACTTACATTACTCATTACATGAACAAAATCGAGTACTACCTTTAATTCCCCAGTCTTTTCTACATTGTCAGAACATTTGATAGAAGACCACACTGGCCAAAGTTTTCTCTTTAAATCAGAAAATACGCAACAGGGCTTTGTATAATCCCAAAAGTCCCAAATACCTCTTGCCTTTGTCACACCAAACATGCGTTCGAGGTATTTGCTTTGTGGGAATCTTACCCTCAACCTTGAAGTAGTGCGCACCTCAAACCCGACCACAATTGCCATGTAGTCGGGAGTGAGTATTTTGAGCCGGGTCCGGTCTGGATGCGTACAGTTGCGTCCTCTGTTCTCTCCTGGTCAGCGCCGCGCTCCCTCTCTCATGTCCGAGCTCCTAGACACCGACTCCGGCCTCTGCGTCTCCGGATCATTGTCACTCCACCCGTCTGTGCCGTCCTGGTGCCATTCCAAACATTCCCCACTCCAAACCTGATGCTTGCTGCTTTGGCCACAACCACAAATCTTTAATTAGTTCCCGCCCCATTATGTGATTATCTTCATAACTTCTCCCAAGACCAAAAGTGAACAGCTCGTGTTTAGGTCAGAGGCATAATAATAGAGCAGGCTCCCTGTCTTTGAGAAACTAGTGAAAGCTGACGTTATGCTCGGGAAAGTGCTCCGAAAATATAACTGGCTACTGTTATTTGACAAAGAAGTGTAGTTTTATTTAATCGAGTCTCCATGTAAACGACTTTGAATATATTTCGTCGGAGGGCCTTGGGTTTGTACCGTGCTCACTTTTACATTTTTCAGTAAGGGTAATTCAGTAATTCTGTTCAGATTTCAAAGTTCAGCCCTCGTAGAGCACCTGCTCTGGTACTTTTGACTCTTTTATGACCCGGTGAAGAGCTCTACCTCTTCTCTTAACCACAAATACTACTTCAATGTGTGAACTTTTAAAAATGAGGTGAAATTTGAAATAATAAACAAAAATACACCTGTTAATATTAAAAATAATTAACACATTGGATAGAAATTGGGTGCTATTTGCTTACAATTTAATCTGAGATAGTAAAAGGTACAACAAAAGAACAAAAAGCTACAGACTGCACAGCATAATGGAAAGTTTTTATTTTTTTTATATGACATTAAACATCCATCTTGTACTCATTTATTGAGTTTATTTTATCTAAAAAAGAAAAATAAATCAAAACTATTCTAAAAAAAATCTAAATCATGTGTTATTACTAGGGATGTAACAATATCCAAATCTCATGTTACGATATTATCACGCTATGCATCTCACGGGACGATATTTATTGCGATATTTTGAAGAGGCTGATATAATTGTAGACAGGACACATTTTGCTTTTAACATATATTGACAAATAAATTAGTAAATATACCACAAAATACTTTTGGTGACATATTGATACTGTATCATCACATTAAACGATATGATATACTGATATTTCGGTATTTTTGCACATCCCTACTACTGATCAAAAGTCCAAAAGTTTTGGGTCATTATCTTTTTTTTTTTTTTTTTTTAACCTCTGTCTGTTCAGTTCTTATCTTTCTACCATTTCAAGTTCTTCATTGGACTTGCATGACTTTATTTGCAATAAATAACTGTTATTAAATTAAGGTGTTTTAAAACTCTTGACCCGTAAGCGGCACGGTGGCTGAGTGGCTAGCACTCATGCCTCTCAGCAAGAAGGTTCTGGGTTTGATCCCCGGGTCGCCCGGGCCTTTCTGTGTGGAGTTTGCATGTTTCTCCCCGTGTCTGGATGGGTTTCCCCCATCAACCCAAAACATAAACAGTTGATAGTCAAGGTCAATCAATGATTAGCACTGGTGCTAGTGGCACACTTCACCCACATTGCCTAGTATGAAAGTGGTGTGTGTGTGAGTGATGGTCGGAGGGACCTTTGGCGCTGATTGGCATGGCATCCGCACTTCTGTCAGTCTGCCCCAGGGCAGCTGTGACTACAACAGTAGTTTACCATCACCAGGTATAGAGTGAATGAATAATGCTGAATAATGTCTGTAAAGTGTCTATGTGACAAAAATGTCTGTGAAAAGCGCTATATAAATGGAGACTTACTTACTTAGTGTATATGTACAAGTAAAAATTTAAAATAATATATAGAAATAAAGTAATAAGTGATGACGTAATCACCACTGACATAGTCAACCATGAACATAGATAAGTTTAATGCCGTACCGTGGAACATTCAAGGGAAAACAATAACATCTCCAGAAATGAGGAGCAGTCAGATCTTCCAAAAAAAAGCTCCACAGTGCACCCTCCGAAACCTTAAATTGAATATGTACATGTTCCAAGGATAATACGCGATAACTCGGATCACAAATCCAGTGACATAGCAGAGTATTTTGAGCGTCATTCCACACATTCCCTGGTCGTGTCAGCTCAGACCACACCGGACCTGATTGTTGTCGGTTTGGCCCGCCTCGCC